GTACTGAGTGGCGGGCGGCAGAAAAGACCCAGCTGCAGGATTTGGCTTGAAAAACGTGTTTAAGATTTTTGTTGTTACTGTTTTCGTCACCAGCCGTGATCGTGACGAGCGTTTAACCTGACCAATCAGGGAATGTGTGACCCACCCTCTCCTCCATATTTATTACAGCGCCCGGCGGCGGAGCAGTTTTAGATTTTCTCCCCCTCGCTCGCAGCATGTGTTACTGGCCCATAGCGATGCAGGTCTGCGGGACACGATAGTCACGTATACGTGTGATCTGAGCTCAGAAATGATCATCCAGATTCATTCATTAATCCACAGATCTGATGGTTACTGAGACGACGTGTGATCTCGGTGTTTGCATACTCGTTACCGGGGACGGGAAAGGTTTCTCTTTTTTTGCAACGCTGACTAAAAGTGGGGCGTGATTTTAACGCTGCCGCTCACGTTATTAAAGATCTGAAACGGTCTTATTTTATTTTACTGAAACACTGAGAGTTGTTTCGATGTTTCACTTCATCACATTACTTTCAGGTTCTGGATGTTTGTACGCGTTTTTTGTGCCGGTCAGCGTCGCTGCAGCTGTCCTCTGTGTTTCAAGTCTGCTGCTTTTGAGAACATCTGAAGCAGGCTTTGCTCACTGTAATCAGTCCCGGAACTGATTTACTGAAAGACTCCTGGAGCTGCTTCAGTTCAGGGGCTCGTTCGAGGCTTCAGGCGATTTTCAAGGAAATGTGATATCTTTGGTCGACCGTTCGGGGTGATGGTCGCTGATCTCAGTTCAAATTTTTTCTGTTTTCAGATGAGATTTAGTTTCTTTTTAACAATAAAGGACGGGTGGTCGTGTTTTCAGTTTTTAGAAATGTTCCTGTAGGTGGGCTTTAAATCAGATGGTGAAATATTTTGGGGTCGGGAGAGGGGCTTGTTATTATTTAGCGTCCACGTGAAACTCTGTGATTGCACTCAGAATAAAGTTTAGTTGGTTTGAAGGATGGCGTGGTTAAATGACATTCTTGTAATATTCCCGCCAAAACACAGCTCATAAAGTCACAAAAGAGTTTTTATACACAGTAATTGTTTTCTTTTAAGGGGAAAGATATTTTAAAAGAAACCTGAGTATTGTGACTGCAAAATATAATAAAATTAAAACAATAAATCAAAGTGTTTGTGTGGTTGATGAAGTCAAATTTAAACTGCTGTTATAAACCTTCAAGAATCACCGTCTAAGGTGTAAAACTCGGAAGTGTTATTATATATTTGGGATGTTTAATCCAAACATTTTCAAGTATTTAATATAAAATCTACTGCTTTAATTAAAGTGATCGGGGATTTCTTTGTTGCCGGAGAATAAAAACTTTTGTGTTGAAGCAAATTTTCTGCTTAAATTCTGATTTGATGTGTTTGTACTTGAGAATAAATGTGAGATTCTGATTGGAATTAAAAACGATGGTGTTAATAAAATAAGATCAAAGCTGCTGCTATTAACAAAACACGGCATTAACCATCTCAAACAGCTTAGATGAAAACAGAAAAAAGATCAATGTGTTTCAGTACTGTGCACAAGTTTTGAGCCGCCCCACATTTCTTTGTTTTCCATCCAAAGAGCCAAGCTTTGTTTTTCAGCACATCTCCGGGCTTCCTGAAGGTCTTTATAAGTTTTTCTTTCTTCATTATGTTACTGAAAATGTTGTTGAAATGAAAACAACAACAAGAATAATGTCTGTTTTTAGACATCTGATGCTTTACTCAGCTTTACACTGAGTTTCTTTTTCTTCCTTTTGGCTTCATTCTTGACTTGCTGCTGTACCAGAGTGACACTCATGATGCATCTCATTCTTGAGAGGAACAAAAACAAGTTAGCTGCTGTTTTGTCAACAGAGGTGAAGGTGGAGGCGTGTCCTCAGTGTCCAGGTGCTACAGTGACACCAAGAGGAAAGAGCAGGTGAGCTGCTCTGATGTCATCAATGTCAGATCGACATGCTGGTCCACCTCCAACATTGCCCCACATGAAGAGGTGGTGTATCCAGATGTTTGCATATGCAACAGATGTCGGCCTCATCCACGGATCATCTCCCGGTGGGACTGCAGGTGACCTGTCACTTACTTTTTCAGGATCCTGGTGTTCTTAAAACTAACAGAGCACTAAGTAGGGTAAAGGTTCATTTATGTTGTAGATGTGCGGTTAAACTGAAATCTTTGGTACTAAATGAGAACTGCTCTCATAAAAATAACAGGTTAACATCTGTGCAGGTTTATCCACCAGGACTGAAACATCTGAAGAACATCTGTTGTTCTTTTACAGCAAAACAGCGTGTCATATTCTGTGTTAACAACAGCAATATTAATCATCTGTAGAACAGGTGGCAGTAAAACAGGGATATGTTTTTGTTCAGTCTCTAAACTCACAGCAGGTCTCCCTGTGGGTGTGCTGCTCCTTTAATGAGACAAAAACCATAGGAACCTTTGCTTATACTCGCCGCTGTTCCCCATCGGACTCGTATAGAGGTTGGACCACAGTACAGTCAGCTTGCTGTTCTTTCAGCGAGTAAAAACGCTGAAATATGCTTCCAATCGGAGCCTATCGTGTTACATTTTTGTTTTGACAGAAATAAAAATTTAGCAGACACTCGCATAGGCTCGGTGACCGTCGGTAAAGCCCAGGTTATAGCCGGGAGGAGCTGAGTTTGGACCCGGAGCGGCGATGTGAGCGAACCGCTGATGCTACGTGTACAGTTAGCTGCGGAAGCTAACGGACCGGAGGAGGATTTAAATCTGAGCAGATGATAAGCAGCTGTACGGCGGCAGCAGAGCGGGGCACAGAGCCGAGGGCCGGCATGGAGCACAGTCTGGTCTCCGTCAACACTTACAAATGAGGAAAGATGGAGGAGAAAAGCCTGTAATAACCAAGCTATAATTTATAACAACAAGAAGGAGAGGAGAGAAGCTGGTCCGACTTTACAGCGAGTCCGGCAACATGATGTATTCATCCAGGAGGAAACCCGTGCTCTACTTCAAAGAGGACAGGAGGTGAGAGGAGAGCATGAAGTTTGTTTTTCCTTTCTCTTTCTTATTTTCATGCTTTGATTTAGTTTCAGTAAGTTTTCTACAGCCGAATGTCAGACTCACTGAAGGTTCAAATATATCACGGAGAGGTTAAAATCACTGAAATAGTCTAAGCCGTAAATTTACGATTAAAAAGAACAATTAAAAAGAAACTATACAGAAGAACAGATTTCAGAGGGAACACTAGAGAAACTGCCAAATTTACAAGGAAACCTTGCCCATACGGAAACAAATTGCATATATTCAAGAAAAGATAAATAATTTTTTCAGCAAATGTCAGATTTACCCGTAAAAAAATATACAGCAGAAAATACAGCACATTTACGGGGAAAAACTGGTAAATTGACAAGAGAAAAGACCGCCAACTTTCCAGTAAAAATGGGGAAATATGCAGGGGAAAATGCCTCAATAAAAGTCATGCTGTTTAAAAAAATATGTTGTTGGTTTTGTTTTTTATAAAAAACAAACAAACGTGGCTCTTTCAGTTTAACACCCTGTTTTATGGGTTTTATTTCTGGGTGTTACTGTTACACTGAAGGGAGGAACTCATGTGAATTCATTGATTTTAAATTTCTTTTTCTTTGAAAAATGTTTTTAGCTTGTTTGTGTGGTATTAAAATTAAATGTAAAAGAAGTGATGGGAAATCACCAGAAACCTCATTAATATTCTTTCTTGGCTTTGAAGAAGTGATCCATCTAAAGCTCCCGGGCAGCAGGAGAAGTGAGTAAAACTTCAGCCTTGTTGTTTCCACCAGCGGTTCCCAAACTGTGGTTCAGGGACATTCAGAGGTGCTTAAAGTGATTCTGTCAGGGAGTCTTTCTTCCTTTATCTTTCCCCAGTTTGTCATCCTCACATCTTAAACTTAATTTGTAGCCCAGAGTTACTCTAGTTTTTACATTTTCGGATTAGTTTTCATTATTATTGTATGGAGAGCGTAGGACAGAGGTGGTGGACTTTTTGACTCTTTGTCTTTTAGAGGGTAAACACATCCATCAGAGATTC